AATAGTTTATGCAATAAAATCACAAACAAATTAATTCGACAATTAAGTTCCCCGGGATGTGTATGTATAATCTGAACATATAAATTACTCATTTTATAAGATATTTTTGTAAGTGTTCTGGATGTCACGTAATATAAACATACTTTAATTAAAAAAAATAATATAAGCATATTTTAGTAATAAAAATCTCTATACCAATAAATCTTTATTTTTATAAAAAAAATATATTATTTTCTATTTTTCTTTTAGTTCAAATATTGATGAGTGAGAAATTCATACATTTACGCACACAATAATCTCAGTTAATAGGTTAAAAATATTAAAAAAATAAATATTATGAGATTAAAATTAGTTCAAAGAAAAATGCTTATATTTTGAATTAGGAGGAGTGTAGAAAATCTAAAATATATTTTTAATTTTTTTTTTCTTTCAGAGGCCTGTGTCTAAGATCTCATTTACTCGTGTCATTAATTAATTAATCACATGTAAGTTGTTCCTTCCATAGTCTTATAGGATCTATAAGTGGGAAATATTCAACATACTTGAAGAAATGAGAGAAGGGATTTAAATGAAAAAATATATATATATACTGTACTTTTAAATTAGAAAACACTCCTAACTACCAACTTTTTCATTCTATTTGCATAAAAAAAAAGTGTCTTGACCTTCAATTATAAATTTATAGATAATGATTATTCTTAAATAATAGCCATTGATGTTGGCTTAAAATACTTCAAGTAATTTTTATTCTTTTTCTACTCATTTATTTATTCTATTCATTTATTATATTTTGAATTAAGATAATTGATTGAAAGAAAATGTTTATATTTTATAATAGAGGAAGTATAGCATATTCATAGCTACATTTGCACTACTAGAGACTTGAGCCTTAAAACTAGTGCTCCCCTGTTCATCTCAATTTATAATTAAGACACAATTAGACATGATTATTAAATATACTTTGTAATATTTTTTTTTTAAAAATAAAATTATAAATTTAAAAAAATACCTTTCATTTAATACTCTAGAAAAAGAATAATAAAAAAATGTTATTAAAAAAAATTATTTTTGTTAAAATAGTTTATATTTTAATTTTTTTAAAAATGTCTTATAATTAGAGTTCAATAAGTATATAGTAAAATTATTGAGAATTAGTTATAATAATTAAATTTGTAATTACTGGCAACTAATAAATCAGCGTCAATGTTGTTTGGAGCGAAGTAATAATGATTCAATTATTACACCCTCCGGAACTTCCGGGCTTAATTAGATGTTGGGTTGGGTAGCTGAGTTATTAATTAGTTATATGGACAAACATGCATCTTCTTCGTACTCTATGTACAGACTTGACGTCTCAGCTTCATTTTCATTAGTCAAAACTGGGGGGTCTCACCATCATCAATTATTTTCATATTTTGGAAAATCTGACGTAGATTCAGACATCTTTATTCGCTATTATGAATAAACAATTTCCTCTAATTACATCAAAGATAACATTATATTCTCTCAATCTCAAATTATAAACTATTTTTAAATAAAATTTTATAAATTAATAAACTTAATTAAATAGACTTTACAACTTTATTTTTTTAAAATAAAAGTATAAACTTTCAAAAATACCCAACATTTAATATATTAAAAAGAGAAGGGATAGAAATTAATTATAGAGAGAGAATGGGTAATATTAAAATTAATACATTTAATAAAATTTTAAAGAAAAATGATAATAAAACCCCTCTAAAATATGCAAATAATAATTTGATCCCACAAAATGTCATAATTCCCTTGAAGTCCCCAGTGACTTTTTTATTATTAATAAATTTATAAAATTACAAAATTATCCTTATTAAAAATAAATGATTCACAAGTTTTTTAAATATTCATAACTTTCTTTCTTGTATTCGTAAAAATATAACAGCAAATCACAACTTCACATGTTAAATTCCTTATTTGTTGTTGCATTATTACGAATATAAGAAGAAAAGTTATGAATATTTAAACAAAACTTGTGAATAATTTATTTTTAATAATGGAAATTTAATAATTTATATAAATTCATTAATGATAAAAAAGTCTTTAAGGACTTCAGGGGAAAAATTATCATTTATATATTTTAAAGGGATTTTATTGTAATTTAAACTTTAATTTATCCAAAATGTCTCCTATTTTGGGATGAAAAAACTCCTTCAAAGGTGCCATATAATTTAAAATAAAGGGAGTACTTGCTCTAATTCTATTTATGATGCAAAAATAGAATCCATATAATTTGGAATAAAGGGAGTACTTGCTCTAATTCTATTTATGATACAAAAATAGAATAATTTGTTTAGTTCTATTTATAAATTATGTTATTAAACTTTTATCATAAATTTTATCCTTTCCTTAAGTGCTATTGAGAGAAAGTGTGTGTGTGTGTGTGTGTGTATATATATATATAAATATTTAATATGAACAAAAATGAAAACTTATTGAATTTTTGAACAAATCAAAGTTAATGAATTTTAAAATTTTTTTAATTTTTATAAAATATGTTAAAAATGACTTATAAATAAGATTGAAGAAAGTAAATCTAAGTCTCAAACTCATTACATTTTCCCTTTAATTTTTCCCCAAAGGAAGAATATACAATCCTTGTGCTCAGGATACCATAAAAAAGGTATTTATGTCTTTAATAGTTTTCGGCCAAAATGTCTTTAACATTAAAATAATATAGGGTTAATGAGCATCCTAGATCCTAAATTATTACTCAAACAATATCTTGGATCCTAAATTCTTAAAATGAGAAAAAAAACTCCTCAACTTATAAATTTTGAGCAAATTATCCTCACCATTTATATAAATAATGTTGACCATTATATAGCCAAACTGGCATGCCATGTGTCAAGAGAGGATTAATACCATGCGTCAGCCTTTGACTAGGTCGTATAAAGTCAAAAGCAACGATGGTTATATGTAAATCAATGGTAGGGGGTAATTTGCTCAACATTTACAAGTTTAGGAGAGTTTTTGCTCATTTTAAGAGTTTAGGATCTATGATACTATTCGGGGTAATAGTATTGGGTATGCTTATCAACCCAATAATCTTTTAAAAATGATCTAAACTTCTTAGAAAATATTTTATGCAAGAAAATTACAAATAAATTTATTTATTAATTATGTTCCCAGGATGTACATGTATTAATTTCTACATATAAAGTACAATCTCTCTCTCACTTTATAATATATTTTTTTTGAGTGTTTTGGATGCCACATAATATAAAATACTTTGATAAAAAAAATAATGATTAATTGGCGAAGCTTATTTCAAAATTATGCCAGATTATTTCATTCTTTAAATATATTTCTTTCTCTCTCACTCATTTTTTTAATTAAATGAAGAGTGTTTTTGAAATTTTATAGAGAAATTAAAATTTTGAACATGATTTAATTAACTTCATTGGTATATTCAAAATTTTAACCCCAAATTTTTTTTTTATAAAATGGGACGGATGAAGAATGATAAATTTGAATCAAGTGGTCCCCTTGTACTTTCTCTTACTCGTGGGACATGAAATTCTTTTTTCTTTTTCTTTTGGTCTTTTTTAGGTCAAAACGTCGATCACTTACCTTAAACATGTGAAACGCATGCCCTTTCCATCGAAATTCTCAAGTATAAAATTCATTCGGCAAAGTGAGTTAATATTTAATAAGATATTTATTACATTAGTGAGTTAATGAAGAATAATGCTGGCAAAAGAACAAGTTAATAAAGAAAAAGAGTATTAAATAAGAAATTGATTACATTAATGAGTTAATAATTCAAACGTATTTTAGTGAAACACTATTACAATTTACTCTATAGTTTAGAATATCTAGTTATTTTCTCGACATGTTTGAAAAACCCAAAACTAAAGTAACAAACATTTCATTTTGGAACGAAGGAAGTACTTCTTTTTACCCAAAAGAAGAAGAAGAAGAAAGATTTAGACAAACTGTAATTTCCCTATATGAGAATTAAAATATGAAAAATGATTGGTATATAATTTAGTATTTAAAATATGCAATACAAGGAAAAAAATGTTTGGTATAACTGCCTTCAAAACCACTATATATATATATATATATGGAAAAAGAAGAATCATAATTAAGGAATGAAATTAGGTTTAGAGTTAGTTATCTGTAGACAAGAGTCTAGACTTTGCTTTCAACAAAAAATGGAGGGCTTGTCCTTTTTGTTAATTTGTTTCGCCTGTCAAATTTTCAGATTAGAACAGCGACAGAAGAATTTGAAGAGTGAGAGGCAATAATATAATAGTAGTTAATTTCATTTATCTTAATATAAATATTCAAAATATATTTTTTTAAATAATTTATTATAAAAATAAGGATAAATTAACTTATTGACTAAAAAAAATCTTGTGTCTAGAAAATATGAACTGAATTTTTGAAAATTTGCAAGTATGGTCAATTTATATTGATATACAAAAAATTTATCATTGATATACAACGGTATATCATTAATAAATATAATAAACTTGGCATATGTAATATATAATAAATATTAAGTTGTTTGCTTGATTTGATTTTGTAACTTAGGTTATATTTGTAAAAGCCTCTAAAAATAATCATCAATAAAATATAATACAAATTTCACCAACTTGCGTACACATATAGGACCGTGTTTGGAAATCTTGAGGTCTAAGGTAGAATTATTATAGAAGTCTAGTATTTATGATGAAATAATTCTAACATTTCATTTTTAATAAGCAAGAGACTTAATTCATTCAATTTATATTGTAATATATTTTATTTTTGATAGAATTTAGTCACTTTGCTAAGAAACAGTGTCATTTTCTCTATAATTAATTTTTAAATTTCATACTATTATAATCTTTACAAACAAATAATTTTCTTCCCGTAAGTATATATGTGATGATGAGATGAGGGTAAAAAAAACATTTTGCTTCCTCTTTGTAATAATTACTTTATACTCATGTAATTGAATTATGTATGTATGTATGTATGTATGTATGTGTGTATGTATGTATGTATAAAAGAGTGGAAGCTACACCTTATTGCTGTGTGAATACAAGTCCGTCTAGTAAACACCTAGTATTCAATAAAAGAACAAAAGATACTTAACAGTAGATTCAAAACACTTACATCATTTGGGTGTAACCTCAATAATTATTACCAATAAATTAAACAAAAATATAATATTCCTTTTTTCAATTATAATAAATCAATATGGTGTGTTGAAACAGTCCTGGTCCACGAGTTCTGACTATGAAATTTCAGAGTTCACAGCTCATCATCATGCTGCCACAGCACCAGAGCTTTTTACATCAGCCATAGCTCGTTTCGCACTTTCGCCTTTTGCTTCACATAAACTGGGAAGAAACACACCTACACACGTATATAGAAGCATGATGCATCAGAAGATTGATTAACTAATATATATATATATATATATATAGCCCTCCTATTCTATATAAATCTAGAAGGAATTCATAATCTTATTTATAAGTTATTTATAAGTTACTTTGCAGAAAAGGTGATGAATCAATAATTACTTTATTCTAATTTTATCATTTCACAATTTTTCATGGGCAAAGTAAACTGTTAGCAATAAAATTCATTAAATATATTTTATAACTTTATTTTTTTAAAAATAAAAATATAAACTTATAAAAATATCATTTATTTAATATTTTATCCATGAAAAAATATTAAAGAGAAATAATATAATGTGAAGAGTAACATTGAAAAAGTATTTTTAATGAAATTTTATTTTTATCAATGTATTTTATATTTTGAAATGTCAAATTTTTTCCAAAAGTATGTAATAATTTTTAGAACAAAGTTAGTACATAAAAGAGATAAAGTGTTTTTAATGATGATACATTCAATATCGATATTAAACTAAGAAATTTCTTTCCTTTCCCGACAATATCAATAATTTAATTATCATTCTTTCAGTGAAATAGTTAAAAGTGACTTGTTTATAGGCTTAGATGGAATATATATATATATATATATGAGAATATGAGATCAAAATGATACAAAAATATATATCCAAAATGAAACAAAAGAAGCTCAAAAAGGAAACTAAGTAATGTTTATGTGTAAATGGGCATGCATGTACCTTCAACCTCAGCGAGCTTGAAGTACAAATCAACAACATTTGGGCAATGATGATAGCATTGGGTGGAGCAGAGCTTCTCAGTGAAGTGAGAGTCGATGAGTGAGTCTGATGAGATTCCAAGGGACATTCTGTCTAACCCACAAGCCTCCACGCACTTGTCAGTCTCAATGTGATTCATCACTTTGTCTGCTTCTATCTCTGATGATTTGCATATGTATGCTTCCATTCCACTCCTCTTCACTATCTTCTCAAGAACGCATCGCTTTCCAGCCAATGAAACTGCGAACGAGCAATTCTCTTTTCCAAGATTCTCACATTCTATCCCTCCTGCAACACCTCATCTCCTTTTTATATTCTAATCTTACAGCTCGTTGAATAGAAGTCAGACAGACAGACAGATAGTGTCTGAATTCTAAGTGCATATTTAAAAACAAGCCTTACTCGTGCAAGTGACAAGTCTTAACAATATGTTAGTAATACAGAACTTTAACATGGCATCAGAACTACCAGGCCGATTTGGGACAAAAAAAAATTAATATTAAAAACACAAAAGACAAGAAAGAAAAGGGGGAAAAATTAGCAATTAAGGAAATATTAAATGTATAATAGTCCTTCCAAATACACGTGTGTGTGCTGAGTTCTTGTAAATTGCAACCTCTTGGTTAGAAGATAAATATATATATATATATATATATATCATGGAGTGATTATTTGTGCCAAAGACACACACACATACACAGCATATTGGCCCGGCATGATTTGTGACTGGATGTACCTACTTTTTGTTGGGACAGAGGTGCCTTTCTTTAATGTTTTTTATAATGTCTCAATTTCCTAACTTTGTTTTTCTTTTTTCTTTTTTAAATTATTAGTTTTTATATAAAATAAGAGATATTTTCATATCTAAAAATCCTAAAAAACAGTGGTGTTTTGTATTTTTTTAATGATTTTTTTAAAATAAAAAGGTGTAATAGAAATTTTTTTTGTTAAAAAATTATATAAAATAAACCATTTCAAAACTTCATATCAAAATGTTTCGTATTTTATATAAAAATTTATAATAAAAATAAAAAAGAAAAACAAAGCTAAAAAGTTGGGATATTATAAAAGGATATTAGAGATTATGAAAAGTATATTAAAAGCCCCTAACTCCAGGAGATGAAAGGAACTTTTACGGTAGGTAAGAAATAATAATACTTTGTAATCGGAAAAGGAAATACTAATACTTATGAAGGTGACAGAAATTTTGATGAAGATATTGATAGATTTTGGACTTACCTAAAGTGCCTTGCACGAAGAGAGATGGTGATAGTAATATTGGAAGAAGAACAAGTGTCACAAAACCCGTCAAGCTAATCTTCATGGCCATGGCAGGATATTAAAACAAGTTGGTGGAATAATGGCCAAAGTGAGTTAGCTTAACTAGGGTTTTGGAAACTTGGTGGCAAACTGTGTTGTTGGAAGAGGATGGGATGAGGGGTGGGTTAGCCAGCAAGTGTATTTATAGATGTTCCTTGAAGGGCATTTAAGGGTTTTAAAATATTTTTTAATCAGAGAGAATTGATTGAAGGTGTACTTTTCAACCATGTGAATTATTGTAGGAGACGCATTTCTTAACCAAAATGATGAGTTCGACTTTGAATTGAATTGTAGTCAAGCTGATGGCGCTGCGTGCACAAACAGGGGACATCATCTGCTGACTGCTACCACATGATAGAAACTCTTTAGTTTGGATCGTATCCTATGAGAAAATGAGATTTAAATCCCCTGAAGTTGAGATTCATGAATTTATGTGAAGTTCTTTTTTCCTTTTAGGATTTTAGCTCATTTTATTCATTTTTACTCCTTTGATCCTATTTGTAGGATAGATAAAGTATTTGTTTTAGTCCTATTTATAAAACATCGCAATGATTATTGTATGTCCATCTTTATGACCCTTTTATCCCCTATTAAATGTTAGAAAGGGTATTAAATGTTAGAGTATTTTATTTTTAAAGTATGTATATTTTAAAGGAATAAAGTTAAAAATTTGTTAAATTTTTAGATAAAATTAATGATGTTTAAGATTTTTTTTTATTTTTATAAATATAGAACTAGAGGGAGTATAAAACATAAAATCTTATCAGTCTTTTTTTGAAAAGGAAAACTTTATGAAATTTATGGATTCTCAATTTCAGATGTAAAAAAAATTTGGACTAGTTGGATTTCTAGAATTATTATGAGGCAAAGCCCATGACAAAAAGTGTTCATGGAGATATTACATATTACCTATCAACAAAATTTTCATATCTGCCATAAGGGGATTTAATCTGACACCCTCATGGAATATAAATGGTAGTTTTATCACCAAAAACAATCTCCAATGGCATATTTTATATTAATTAGTGTAGTTTATAAATAATTAATATCAATATAAAATGCAAAATATATAACAAGTCTCGCTATATATTTTTATCAGACCTACGTGTCTAATTTTCAAATAAAATCAAATGCATGCTGACTTAATTATAAATTATAATAGAAAGTTATATATAAATTATTTATCTAATTTACACAGAAATTGCATGTGTGCAATTTATGCTTGTAAGTACATGTTTTCGTGGAGATTACCCTATGAAAGACCTTGGGGGGCCAATAATGAATGTAAAGTTAGTTATCTTTGGACTTAATCAAAGAATGTTAGTCATTTACAAGGTTGCTTAGTTGACATTTGATAGACATTATTACCTTCCGCGCTTTGCGGGGCTTGATTGTGGATTTTGTTATTCAGTATCGAGCTGGCGGCTGAGTTAGTTTTCCGTGGACCAGAGAAACAAGAATCCCACGTCTAGGACCTTGACAAAGTAACATTAATAATCACTATGACATAATATTATTAAAAACAAGGAATGAAGATATTTATAAATTATGAATATATATATATATATATATATATAAACACACAAATGCGAGTTCATTTATTCTTGCAACATTTATCTTTAGGCCAAAGTATGAATTTACCTCGGACATTTTAAAAAGGTGCAGTTGGTATTCTAATGTTTTTAAAGGCTCAATGTTTCCCCCACATTTTTAAAAATAAAACAATTTTGCCCTGTCATTAATTTAGCACCCTGTTAACCATTATGGAGACTCATTTGATTATTAATTCATGAGGTGGCAAGACAGTTGGCATGCCAGATCTGAACATTTTAGCTCATAATCCCATGTCAGCGAAAGACACATGTTTTAATCTCACCCTTACATACTATTTGGAAATCCAAAGTTACCATTTAATCTTCCTAAGCACTAATTTGTTACAGCTTCGCTAGATAGTTTGTGTTTGAGAGCGAGAGGGTCTATGTGGGTGAGGCTTGTTCCAGGCAAAGGTGTGCTCATGCTCACAAAGGTGAGGTCCATGTGGATTAGGCCAGGACCAGGCGAAGGTTTGTGACAATGATTGAAGAATCTTGTGGGATTTGAGCCAACTAGACTCCGGTGCAAAGGGCACAAGTTAGCAATGGAATCCCTAACACTGATTTTTTTTTTCTACTTTTGATTGTTTACAGTGAAATCACATTGTAGTCCTTTTGAAAGTTTGTTTCTTTTTTCTCTTTGTTTTGTTAGACAAATGGCTTTGAACAAGTTAGATGCTGGTGAAGGTAGTGGTGGGAAAAAAGATATGGATTATAGTTCATTACAAAGAATGATAAATGGATGAAATAGATTATAGAAAGAAGGAGTTTGATGAATTAATGAGTGGGCATCCATCTATCACAGAAGAGATTAGGGCATTTACTATCCCTTAACTGACGCATGAGGTCTTTGATTATGCTCGATGAGATAGAAGATCAGAGGAGAGAGGTGAATGAAGATGAGGTTTATGATATCAATGAAGATATCATAGACTATGAGGGAAGAGAGATGAATGCCACTACCAACATAGATGATGACATTACAGATGTCATGGAAGATGATGACAATGATAGTAGAAGTGATGATTTTGAGGATCGAGAGAAGAATGATGAAAACAATGCTATACTCATGGAAGAGAGAAGAATGCCCTAAGACCATTATGGGCTAGATAGTAGTCCTTTTTCATGTTAGGCATGACTTTTATAGATAAAGAAGAAATCATGCATGCCATTGATAGATATGCAATAATATTTGGGGTTAGTTTGAAACTCATTAAAAGTGAACCATGGAGGGTCCACGTTAAGTGTGAGGATGGATGTCCATTTGTGCTATATGCTTTAGAAGATGGGTTCAACCCTCAGTTCAAATTAAAGATACTTCGTTCTGAGCATTAATGCTTTAGGGCTTTTAAGAAATCGAAAGCTATAACAAGGTGGTTGGCAATAAACTTCAAGAGAAAGGTGTAAGAGAGGCCACATTAAAGACATGAAGACATGAAGAAGATGATATAAAGCTAAGTGTAAGACTCACTAAGTGTAAGAGGGCTAAGTAGACTATAATGGAAGAGATGGAAGGAAGTTATAACGATAAGTTTAGCTCTCTTGAAGCATATTGTGATGAGTTGAAGGAGTCAAATCCTAGCATTGAAGTCAATGTAAAGGTGAGTGGAGATGTGCTTAAGCAAGGGAGAAGGGTATTTCATATGATGTACCTGTGCTTTAGTACTTGCAAGATAATTTTTTTTAAATGAGTATGTTCTTCTCTCCTTAAAGTCAACAGTTAGTAATTGACTTAATCTTAATGTTGATACAAGTTGGTTAGAAGGTTGAGTGCATACCATTTATTGGATTGGATGGCACATTTCTCAAAAGCCATGCCTAAAAGATCTTGCTCATTATAACAAGTTTAGATTTAGGTGACTTTTTTTTTTCCATTGCCTTTAGGTTGGTTGAGAAGGAGACCATTGTCAACTAGCTTTGGTTTTTCCAATGGCTTCAAAAGTCACTAAATCTTGGAAAGGGTTCTAAAGTGACTTTAATGTTATACATGTAAAAGGTTAATTTCTTAGTGTTTATTGTAATTTTATTTGGTTTTTATTTTATTTCTATTGAATTATAATTCACTCACATGTAGGGTTTAAACATAGTTGTAACTACTATCCTATCAAAAGCTAAACACTATCTATGTGTAAGACATATATATACGAATTGGAGTAAATGATAGAGAGGGATGGAATTGAAGAACTTTTTTGCATATGCTTGGTCAATATTAGAGGAGCAATTCATGGACAACTTAAGGCCCTTAAAAGTTTGAGTAAACATGTAGCAGAGTCATTAGTGTCATACCTTCCACAAGGATGGGTAAGAGCTTACTTTTCTACAAGGAGTAAGTCATGACCAGTAGATAACAATGTGAGTGAGTCATTCAATTCCTGAATAGATGATTATAGGTACTTGCTAGTGATACATATGTTTGATGGTATTAGATTGCAATTGATGAATAAATGGGTTGATGGTAAGAAGAATGTTAAGAAGTGGTATACTAATTTCAATCCCAAGTGCATTGAGTTGTATGATGCTAATAGGATTCAAGCTATAGATTGTAGGGTATATTTCAATGGAGATGAGGGTTGTGAGGTGACAAAAGGTAAAGATAGGTAGATGACATTCTTAAATAAGAATGTTTGCACATGTAGGGCTCAGGACTTGATTGGAGTCTCATGTCAACATGCTATTTGTGCTATGTACCATGCAAAAATTGAATTTGGTATCCACATTTCAAGGTATTTTCATAGGTATATATACTTTATAGCCTCTAGGAATAAGTTATAGCCAATTAAGGAAAAGAGGTTTTGGAATTGTGATAACATAGAGCCAATGAAGGCACCCTCTATTGTTAATGTAACATTTCAAAAAATTTTAAGACTCGAATTTATTTTAAAAAAATAAAATAAAATAAAATATCTATAATTAAATTAAAATTTAGAATAATTTGATAGAGGTCTAGAGTTTGAATGTCACTAAATAAAAGTTGGGTTTTATTTTATTTTTAACTATGAGAAAAATTATCAAAGTTGACTCGAGCTTTTGTGCTATAATAAAAAAATGTTGGGCCATTTCTTGCAATTTTCCCCAAGGCATTAGATCAGCAATTTAAAGAGCAAAAGAACACAGAAACTAAAAAGAAAGAAGGAAACGAACGCGTGAGAGAGAGAGAGAGGAAGAAGAAAGGAGAAAGAGAGGGAGTTAGGCTCGGATCTAGGAGGCTTTGTGGCCGTTGCAAGCTCAGCCACACGATAGGTAAACTCCCTACTTCAATCCTCTTTCCTTCCTCTTTGTTTTCTTTAATTTTTGGAAGAAGAATTTTAGATTTGGATCCCAAAGGCTTTATTCTTGTAAGCTTTTGTTTCTTTGGATTATAGGGAGGATGTTTTGAGTTTCTATATAGTGATCTAATGTTTTAAGTGGATAATTAAATGAAAAGAGGTGTTTTGGGCACAAATTAAACCCTGAGAGATTGGGTTTTGCTCCTTAATGGTTTAAGCCTATTGATTTAGTTATAATT